AGGAACAAGCTTGGTGTGTTGCAAAGAGCAGCAAGGAGGCTACTGTGGGTTCAGGGGAGAGGGCTAAGAGGGTGTCGTGGGAGATGCATTCAGAGAGGCAGCAGTGGGCTTAGATCTACAGGGTCTTACAAGCATTGTAAAGACCAGAGCTTTACGGTGAGTTGGGACACCGATGGAGAGTTCTGAGCAGAGGCGTGGAAGGGGTCAAGGGTGGAAGCAGGGGGATCCATTTTGAAGGAAGCTACTGTAATCAATAATCAGGCGAAAGAAGACAGCGACTTGGACCAGAATGGAAGCAGCGGTGACAGTGAGAAGTGGATGGGATTATGGATATATGGATATACTCTGCAGGTTCGGCCAACAGGCTGTTGCCGGAAGAAATGCGAGGTGTGAGAAAAAGAGGCAAGATGAACAGAGCCCAAAGACAAACCTACTAGAGGAAACAACTCCAGCGTTCAGCCCAGGTGCCCCCAAATCTCTTTTATGTGCCTAGCCTCTACCCCATCCCCTACTTCAGGGCTTGAGACTTTCTTTTATTCCTCCCTGGGAGCCCTGGAGGAAACCCTGGTGGCGCAGTGGTTAAGACCTCAGCTGTGAACCAGAAGGTCAGCAGTTCGAATCCACCAGTCGCTCCTTGGAAACCCTGTGGGGCAGTTCTGCTCTGTCCTACAGGGTCACTATGAGTCCGAATCAACTCGACGGAGATTTTTTTTTTTTTAAAGGAGCCCTGGTGCATAATGGTTAAGCACTCGGCTAGTAATCGAAACATTGGTGGTTCGAACCCACCCAACGGCTCCACGGGAGAAAGACCTGGCAATCTGCTTCCATAAAGATTACAGTCTAGGAAACCCCATGGGGGTTGCTCTGAGTCGGAAACTGACTTGGCCACACCCAACAACAAGAAGAGGGACTTAACCAGCAAGTGGTGTTTTGGGGAGAAAGAAAGCCCAGCTTCCTGTCCGAGAGGTGGGACAATGTCCCGCAGGATCAGGCTGTGGCCACGCTCAGGGGGACTTGGCCTGAGGTGGCTGCCTGCACGTCACCTGGAAGCACATCCTGCCCAAACCACTCGAACATAAGTCTTCATCTCCGGGCTGCTTCAGCGAAAGCCAGCCTAAGACGCCCAAGTTCCTCTCCTTGGCTCTCCGGGTTTACTTGTTTTTGCCCCAGCTTAGCAGTCCACTCTCATGGCCTGATTTTTAAGAGGTGGTGTGCTGTTTCATGAAAAAGATTTAAAATGCAAGGCTCCCTCTTTCCTTTTCTAAGAGGAAATGATTAAATTGCTGTTTTGCAGTTAGTTAGGAAAAAAAAAAAAAAAAAATCCAGAGGTTTAACACATGTTTTCTAAATGGCCTGCACAGATCTGCCCCAGCCCTGTAGCTCTGGGAAACAGCCTTCTTAATCGATCCTTGTTGTAGCTACGGCTCCATTTGACATTTCTAAAGCAAAATGCAGCCTTCCTTCCAAACACAGTGAATGCACAAACGAGGCTTTTCACATATGTGAAAGCTGAGCCCCACCGCGTGATCTGAAATGCATGTCTGGGCTTCCCTTCCACGTCCGCACTGCTGACCAAACCAAGGGCCCGGCCTTTCTCTCGTGCACAGCTTGGCTCGGGGTTAGGATCTTTCTGGCTGCAGGGCCAGAAAAAGCTAACGCATCGGCCACAAGCAATCCAGGTGAGGAAATACAAACCTGGCTTCGGGGTACCTTGCTCTCCACCACACACTCTTGTTCTCTCAAGGCAGAAGGTTGGGGCCAGCAGGAGCAACTCAGAACCGCTAAGGAGTCTCCAGGGAATGTGGGCTCTACCTCTGCTAAGCGGGAAGGAAGGAGCCCTGGTGGCGCAGCGGTTAAGCACTTGGCTGCTAACTGAGAGGTCAGAGGTTTGAACCCACCAGTCGATCTGCGGGAGAAAGATGTGGCAGTCTGCTTCTGCAAAGATTTACAGCCTTGGAGACCCTATGGAGCTGCTCTCCTCATTCCTTCCAGGTCGCTTTGAGTGGGAATCGACTCAATGGCGACCGGTTTAAGCAGGATGGGGAAGATCAACAATGAGAGAGAGAGAGTTTGCTGCTGTGTTAGAGTCTCCACTGGGCTTCGAGCCAGGTGAGGTTTTTCTGCCTTGGCATCATGCAGGAAGTTCAAGGTGAAGTCACCAGAGGGCTTGGGGCACTGGATTAAAGGCAGGAAAGGGGCGGAAAAGACTTATTATTTGCTGAGTATCAATATCCACCCTCAGGGTTCTCTCACAAGGGCAAGTGGCAAGTCCATTCATCATCTTAATGGCTGGGCCAAGATGACTGTAAACATCTGAGGGTTGCATTTTACCCGGGGCTACTATTAACTTGACAAGAGATGCTGGATAAAACAGAACACAATGGGAACCAGCTCCTGCCTTGCAGGGGAGTGGCCCTGGAGCAGAGCGAACCAAGGCTGTCTGGAATCTGCTGACACGCTCAAGGATCAGGTGCACGCCTGCTTGCAAACGCTTTTGAGGCACAATGTTTCACTTCCCAGCTCTGCTTAATATATTTCACTTTGTTCACACGTGCAGATGCAGCTTTTATGTGGAGCCTTCTGTCTGAAAACAGGCCAGGGTACCCCCTCAAATATCAAGGTATACAAACACATAAGTGTTTAAGTCCTTCCAGCTCCCTCCGGATTAGAAACTGAATCAGTTTTATCACCTGGCGCCATCTTGAGCAGTCGGCCCTGAAAGTGAGAAGAGAAATCCAGAGAGAAAGGGACTATCCTTTCTCTAGCAAAGGTGGATATAAACTTGAAGAATTGTTTTACAAGGAAAACAAACTTACGAGCCCTCTATGCCTCTTTTCATAAAGAATACGCCATCGAAAGCCGTGAACACCGACCTGGTGCTTTACCACTAGAAAGTTGACTTGGAAGCTGAGTTTAATACAGAACTCAAAACACTCACTCATCCCTCAGAAACAGCAAAAATGAACTTCCTTCGAGTAGCTTCCAACATCTTCATCCCTCACCCCCATCTCACACACACACACACACACACACACACACCACACACACACACACACACACACACACACACACACACACACACACACACACACACACGGCCTTGTTGTGGCCAGAAATAAGAAGACACAGGGTTCATGCCCCCACCTCAGTTCTCTCAAGAAAATTAGAAGGTGATGTGATGACTCTGTCAGCCAAATTCTAGTGACTTCCAACCAGCCAACACTGAGTGCTAGTTGCATTTCTTAGGAAGCTGAAAGTGCTCTGAAAGCTACACAATGCATTACAAGTGGAGGTTCTCTGTCCTCCACGCTGAACTCGTTACCGTCCCCCTACACCAGCTTCTGTTCCCAACGTGCCTTTCTTCCAGAAATCCCAAGACGAGAACCTCAGCTGCTGACCTTCCTTTTCGTTCCTCTGTTTCTTGGCTCTTTGCGATGTCCCCAGCATCCGACCTTCCTTCTCCGTTCCCCCAGTCCAGACCCCCATACCCTCAGACCTCATCAGCTGCGGAAACCAGCTGCTTAGTGGCCTTGATACTGTCTGACCTTTCTGTTCCCATTCTACCCCGAACACGGATGTCTTCCACCTCAAATTTCTTCCCGTCACTCCTCTTCTCAAAAGCCACGAACAGCCCATCACTGCTGACTGACCTGCTAAAAAATCTGAATTCCTCATCCAGGCTTCATGGGCCAGTCACACCCCTGAGGACCTCTGAGTCTCCTCCCTGCCCAGTCTTCAAATTCAGGGCCTAGCCTTGACGTCTTGACATTTTTGGGGGGGCCACATTATTCCTCACTCTCTGAACTCTAATATTACATACTAAATGCATCACACACTTGAACAATTACAGATCTTGGATTTTAAATAGTCCAATATCCCCAAACCAAAACTTCCAGTGTTTCAGCAAATAGTAAGTCAATGAAAAAACAAACACCAAAAACAAGCATGATTAAGAGCATCCAGGAGTCAAAAAAGCTAACACATTTATTTAACTGACATATGTTTACCAAAGTTTACATTACATTTCACAACATTTTACTATTATTTTTAAAATTTTATTTTGTTGTTGTTGAGAATGGAGCCCTGGTGGCACAGTTGTTAAGAGCTACGGCTGCTAACCAAATGGTCGGCAGTTCGAATCCATCAGTTGCTCCTTGGAAACCCTATGGGGCAGTTCTACTCTGTCCTATAGGGTCACTATGAGTCGGAATCGACTTGACAGCAATGGGTTTGGTTTGGTTGCCGAGAATATACACAGCAAAACGTGCACCAATTCAACAGTTTCAACGTGTACAATTCAGTAACATTGATGACATTCTCCCAGTTGTGAACCATTCTCACCCTCCTTTCCTGAATTGTTCCTCCCTCATTAACATAAACTCACTGCCCCCTAGGGTTCCCCTCTAATCTTTCAAGTTGCTGCTGTTGCTTAGTTTTATTTTTTTAATAACGGCAATTCATTAAATATAAAAAAAGTTCAGTTTGACACTGTCTTTATTTTCTTCACTGTGTGAAGACACACATATTCATTCAATCCGTTGTTAAGCTCATGAGTCTTGACTTTTGGTTTAAAAGGAAGAGCAGACACCCTCTGACGCACATTCTTGTGCCTTATAGCCTTGCTTTTCTTCTCCCCCTTCAACACTGAATCTTGGTCTGAAGTAGATGATCAATAAGTACCTTCTGAGTAAATGAGTGAACTCTAAAGCATGGGCTTGTGTGTGTGTGGCAAGGAGGCAGGAGGCTACCCTGGTCAGGGACTCTTCATGCATGAGCAGCTTGGTGTAGGATTTGTTTAATCCTCAGCACAACTCCTTTTCACAGAGGAAGAAACGGAGGCACAGAGAGAAGACTCTTGCCAAGGTCACACTGATCACAGGAAGCAGAAGTGGGATTTAAACCCTGACCCTGATTCCACCCAGAGCCACGTTTTCCCTCTATATCACGCTGGCTGCCTATTATTTTACTTCTCTTCGAAGAGCTCCTGAACTCCATACTCCAGCTTATCTGCTTCCTGCTGTCACTGAAAGAATTACACAATTATTTCAGCCTGCAAACAGTTCTCAAAAACCATTAGCTTTAAAACTTCAGTGGACACTACATTTGGGTTGAACCGCTCAGTCCTCCACCTTTCTCCCAACATACACACCCGGACCCCACGCCCCCAGGCCCCAAATCTCTTTGGCTAGTTATCTGCTGCTGAGGGAAGGACGTGAAACACAGTCAAGGCTGTAGACAGACTAAGTTCCACCCGAAATGCAGATCCACATCAGGGGAGAGTGGGGCTAGAACACACGGAAGGCCGTGAGGCTGGAGGTCACCAGTCGGTGGTCTGCGGGCTGCATGTGGTCAGAGGACGTGTTTTGTTTGGCCCACACGATGTTCAGAAAACATTTTAATTAGCTGCTAAAGTCATGGGATTTCACATAAAAATGTGGATTTCTGGTTTTTATTGAAAAATAGGAAGTCTGGCTGCACTGGCTCTCCTTCCCACCTGGCAACAACTGACCATTGCTGGGAGCTGGCTGCCCCTGTGGATGAGGCTGGAACCCTCCATTCTTCCACATTCTCCACCGCTTCCTACTGTCCCATACCTGGCCTTCTTCACCCATTTACAGCACCTGCCTTGCCCCACCCCCACAGAGGTATGGACCACTAGTTCTCACACTAGACTCCCAGTGAGGTGTCACTGGGCCAACTTACAACTTCTAGGAGCCTAGAATATGTGATGCTCAGGATGGAGATGCTTCCAACCCTGTGGGCACCTCCAGCAGATGTTGGGAAGCCCTGCCCCTCTTGCATCAGCTCGGCCTCCTCTGTAACTCATGGTAAGATGCCACCTCCCCTTCGGTACCCAAAGGAGACTGAACCTGGGAGAGCCAGGGAAACCTGGCTTGAAGCTTACACTTTTATGGCCATGTGTGATCCACGCATACCATACAGTCAGTAGTATGAAGATGTACCCATGAACCCAGCCCCTTCACACACACACACCCCCTTTCACACTCATGGTCACGTGACACATCCATCAGTGCAGATGCCCTGACAAGCAACATCAGCATGAAATAGCAGGCATCCGCATTCCTAAAATGTCATGAGGTCACCCCACCACCAGGAGTATTACTGGCCCTTTGTTCCCCATGGACAGGCTCTTTCCACGTGGCTAGGTCTTCTTTTACCTCTTCTCCTTGGCCTTTGCTCTACTCTGTCCTCTTCCCCCTGCTCCAGCCCAGTTCCCGCCTTCACCAGTCAAATAAATTGACCCACCCACCCTAGCTGCTGTCTCTGCAATGCTGGCACCAGTAGGCACCAGCAGGAACCAGGTCTTGCTCATCTTTGCATCTCCTAGAGGCTGGCAGGGTTCCTTGCACTTAGCAGGGTCTCAGTAACTGCTGTCCAAACAAATCCATTCCTGTTCCACAGAATCAAGAAAAGCCAAAGCCCTTTGTGCTAGGGGGCACCCAAGAGTCAAAATTAGACTTTACCTTGACTCCAGGGCCATGCGGCTATGCAACTCTAGGGGCCACAATCACATTACAGTCTGTGCAATTGTGCTCTGGGGGCGCTGTTCACACAGAATCCAATGTGAACAGTAACCCTGGAATTGTGTGATGCAGTGGTGTTACTCAACTCCCAAGTGTGTTCCTTCCATTCTTTCTTCTTCTCCCTTTTAATCTTCCATGCAGGGGGAAGGTCTCTCTCTCTGCTCCCACAGGAGACCCCAGGAATAGTCATCCTCTGTAGTGATACATTGCCAAGGAAGTCCTCAGTTCCTTGCCTGGCAGGGAACATGGTGCATTAGGTCTGGCCCTTGCTAAAACTCAGCTGCTGGCCATTACACATTGAGCTCTGGCTGAACAACCACACATGCCAGCCATATAGTAGGATAGCCACCCACAAGTTAAGTCCCATTTTATAGCATGTTTCCAAGTTGGCTTTCTTTAGGCAAGAGAGAAGTCAGCAGATGACCATCCATGTGCACTCCACATTTTATAAAGGCAGCTTTCCCTTAAAGGAAAGACCAGAATAAATTGACGAAAGCAGACTTGCATAGTAAGAGGATAGAAAAATAAATCTCAGGGGACATTTCTGGTGCAGTTTCAGTAGCTAATATCATAAATTGACTGTGTGATGACAGAAAAGATTGGAAACCTTGGAGGCCTGAGGCATGAGTTGCTCTGTGACT